GTGACTACCTTGGGTTGACACTGAATCTTATGCTTAATGGTTTTTTCCCTTACTCTATACATTTCGCTCGTTCGTGAAACATCGTATAGATCCTTCGCCCTGGGAATGACTAGCTTTGATTGATCGATTGTCAGCCTTTCTGCGTAGCCCGTGTATATGCCCTAATTTGAATCATGTCATTGAGTTGCACACACAGACGTTTGGTGGTCGGTTTGGCGTGCGGCGTGAATATTATTTTCTACCCGGTCGTTGGCGTTCTCACTACGGTTAGTGGGTGGAAGCAGTCGTGGGGCTCCGACACAACAGAATGTCCCCTCAGATTATTTCTGTTGCCCAAGAGGACAACTTGGCCGGGAAATGGTGTAGTCCGTGTTCATTTGAGCCTCCTAGCCAAGACGCTCGTCTGAGCGGTTTGTGCAACCCACTCAAGTCGGAAAAGTCCAGATTATCAACCAACTGAATGAGTCAGGTAACGACACGATGCTCAGTAGCGGAAATCAGATAAATGTGAATCCTATGTTTCCTAAAGGGGGCTCGAGATTGGAACAGCTTACCAAACGTCCTTTGCTTTTGCACTGCGCGTTCGACCATCCTAATGATCAATTTTATGCTTATCCTAGTCCAGAAGCGTGACCTGTTAGCAGCAAAAACTGAACAGAATATGCGTGCCAAAATTATTTCATTGGAAGCTACTATGTGCCAGGAAAGTGTAGTGACCTCTAAGAAAAGGAATCTTGTACATTTTGCTTCCTCGGAATCAAGCTCGGCAAGCTCGTGGTTGTCTTTTCCAACTTTAGCAGAACGTCAGAGGAAGATCGACCTTAGCTTTGCTAATCAATCGTACTCATGATAACGAAGATTAAGAACCACCGAAAACGTGTGATCGAGCAAATTCCGCCAATCTAACCAATTACTTTTGTTAGCAAGATTTGGGCAGCGGAACACTAGCCTTTCATATCTGCACCTTAAGGGTCTCTTGTCGAGCCCAAATCCACCGGGTCCTCAGTCACTTATACAGATATAATTGCATAGGTACCCAGAATTCTAACATTGCGGTCTTTTCTGTTATACACACTGTTGTCGCAAATAGATAGACAAACATTAGGTAATCATCACTTGCTAGAAAGCCAGAAGCAATGATCGCCGGACCTTACAGCTCTACGAAAAGGGATATAATAATAGTGCTATGAATGTTGTGCGCTCAGGTGTTCCCGAAGCTACAACCATTACATTGCGGGTCACGTTGTTGGACGACTAAGGCCAATGGAACTCATTGTACATGTTGACGAGCGTCAAGTAGAGTCCGGAAATCTTGAGTTAGAGCGGTGTCAGTCTATCTGCGAAATAGTTTTCTTGGACAACGTAGCCGCGTGATCATTTAAAAGACCATTTCTCTCACCGAATTCTAGAGGATTAGGCCAAAGATTCCCACTATTCGTAGTGCAATCAGAGAAAATAACAAGGAATGTGCTAGATCGTTGGTGGAAAAATGGGAAAAGTCTTCCATCTGAACTCTGGTTACAAGCTACAGAGGCTTCGCAAAAATCAGGTATGAAATCCGCTGAACAAGCGAACCTACCGGCAATCACAAAGAAGCTTCACTCGACCGCCATTCACTCATTCTGATGTAGCTCTAGACGGGGAATGGGATGTACCTTGGCACAATAATGTTGTAGACGAGGAGTCAGTAACCCATCGAAACAGTGATAACGGCCGGCCTCACATCGGTCGGCATCCTCTCACACCTGAATCTTGTAGCTCCCTGTGGGCTCCTAGAGATCGAGAGGTCTGCTGTTATACCAAATCTCAGTGCCTTTTCCAGTAGCTGCCCGAACTAAAATATTTCCAAATTTCTGAACCACGTGACGTCATTGATATCACAGAGACGTGGCTACACTAGAATGACGGACGCTGAGGCTTCGCGGCCAGATATATCGCTCATCCGGAACGACAGAATCACAGAAGGTGGGGTAATTCAGTATTAACGATCGACTTACAGCGCAAGACCATGAAGGATTCAGGCTCATATTTCATCGATTATCTTTAGTTTCGCCTGCAGTTAAAAGACAAACTCCTGCCTTATAGCCTTGGTGTACCGTCCCCCATACTTTACACCCGACAAGCACTGCCAACTGGCGACCGCTCTAAGAACCTCTCCAAAGGGAACTACACTTGCATCCCCATAATGGGTGACTTCAACACACATTGCTTAAAAACCCCTGGCACGATAAAAGAACACTTCAAAGCCGACCTACAAGAGCTCGATGTTTCGAGTGACAACCACGTCATTTTGCCTACTCGGCTCAGAACAGACAACAGACCATCAATGCTGCATCTTTTGCTTATCAACGAGGAACATATGATTGATATGCTGGTTTTAGATTGTCTTTTAGGTTGTAGTGATGATTAGCTCATCAGTTACAACTTCTACTGCTACGCGGAATACCGAACAGAAAACCATGAGACGGCGTGCACCATCACAGGCTGCGACCGCGTAGCCCAGCTTGTCAGCTGCATATATATATATATATATATATATATATATATATATATATATATATATATATATATATATATATATATATGCAACACTCTCGGAAGGCATGTGCAAGGCCTTCCCACCGCAGTTAAACCAACAAATGCTTGAGCTGAATACCTGTGCTGTTTGCATGTATTTAGGAATGCCAAACTGCTTGAAGCGGAACTATTGGCGCTTCCAGCGCAATTCTGTATTATTAGTTTGCAATTTGTTCTAGGTAGCTAGCAAATATATCTTCATAATAAGGTATGCATAAACTCATGGTGTTTTAACAAACGGCAATTAATATGACATGTGCTTCAACGGCAAATGTCGGCACAAGGGTATGAGGTAAACAGAAACACAGTAGAGTGCACAAATGAATGGATTTCATGCGTGCTCACTCAAATCGATCTTCCAATGACGTGCGGTCGCTAATAGTACGGCAGACTGAGCTGTCCCACGCTACTTTTCAAACTGCATAATTCCATGGACAGCACGACAAAGATTGTCAAACGTAACGTATCACGGCGTCTCGTGTCCCATAAACTTTATCAACCAAATCCAGGTACTCTCGGTATTCCGCATGAACTGACCTAGCTTGCCGGATCCGGTCTGCGGGCCGTAGTTTGGTGACCCCTGGTTTTGATCATCTGTTACTGCTTTCCAAGCCCCAATATTACGAAATCGGTAACTCACCTATGGGCTGGGTCGCAAAATTTTCCTTCCATGACAATTAGTGGTCAGAGCTCGTAGCTCCTTCTCCGATCCCATACAAGTCAAGTGTGGTGCACCTAAAGGGTCAGTACTAGAGCCGCGATTGTTTTTGGTATTTATTAGGGACCTTTTATAATTAGTCGCTTCACTTTTCTTACGGTTTGCCGACGACGTCAAGATATAGCGCAGGAATCGAATGAATGCCAACCAGTATCTGCTGCAGTGTGACCCAGACACGGCACATCAGCGATCAACCCAAAATTTAGCGCAAGCCATCCCAAGTAAATTCAAGGTACTTTTCCTGCAACACCAGAGAACCTACACTCACAGGCTAGGTGCTCAAGTACTGCAGCGATCTTCCTTTCAACGTGACCCGGATGGGCTGATTCAGGAGCACTTGAGTTGCTCCAGGTAATCCGAAAATGCATCGAAAACTTCTAACGAACACGTCGAACAGTCGAGACGGGCATTCGGACACAAATAAACATCTCTATTTTTTCGACAGATGATCAGTGCATATCTTCGCTCCGTGTCGAATACGCAATTCAAGCTTGGCATCTATGTCTGAAACATGACATCATCGCACTAGATCAGTCTCAACGTCTGACTTCCAAGTGCGTCGTTGGAACACGCATCCCCCATACGAGCAGACACCGGAACTTTTGGGAGTGTTCAGCGGACGGTATCACTGAGTACGAGAGGACCTGATAATGGGATACTTGATTTCGCACAGTCCAAGTCGTGTGTTCGAATTTTACTGCAGATCAACAGTAACACAAAATTGAGAGATCACTCCTTGAAACTAGCAAAATAGTACAGCCGTCTTGCTTGCCGCAGTAATCCTTTTTGTTATTCGCATATTTCACCCGTGGAATGTTCTTCCCGAAGTGGTCCTTCCTTCACATATACTAGGCATATTTACAAGTCGATTGGATGACGCACCCATCCACTTACATTTTGTTACTTATCGCTATCTCTCCTCTCTACTCCCGTGAAGTACCTTGGATTTATAAGTTATCACCAGTTTATGCTGCAAAGATATTCGGAGCGCATGGCTACAACAGTACAAACAAAAGCCCCTTTTGATAGTAGTGTCAACTGTTTTTGTTAAACTTTTTCGATATCCTCAACAAACCACCCAACGTGACTTTCATAACAGTGCTTATTAAGCCATATATACCTAGTGTTCATTGCTCGTGAACACTACAAGATGTTGATCGAGTAAACGGGAACTATATACTACCCAGTTGCTTTCTAAAATACCTCGATGTACAAAGAAGTTTTTAATGCACTCATTTTGTGAATGGACTGCGACACGTAATCTCATTCCAAACCGCAGTCCACTATTAAGGGAAGCTTAATTTTTTCGGTCATCGTATTTGATAAATAAATGTCAGAGGTTCCCCTCTCGCCACACGGTACCGTGCCACTGACTTCACGCTGGTTTCCACTTGCCAGGCATAACTTTCTGCACAGTAACTCAAATTTGGGACGCAGGGACCACCGGCTGAAGTTGTGGCATGCATACTTTCTCGTTTGCGCTGATGATTCCGTTTAGCTGAGCGCTTTTAAGCAAGGCACTAATTTGCAATCCTAAGTAATGAGATATTTGGAACCCAATTCCTTGATTATTATGAAGCAGTAGTGCGACATGTGAGGTCATCTACGGTGGAACTTTCCTATTGTAATATTAAGCGGGTTTTCTTAATTGTAACTGATGCAATGTCAAACCCATAACCGACTCTTATTCAACCGTGTTTTTCAGGATTACGTCTCCTACTGGAACGGACACCGAATTTCAACCTTCAGCCATGTCAATGGCGGCTGCATAGCTCATCATGGTTAGTGCTTTAGTGTGCCCAACATTAGTGCCAATACGTCTCCGGTTTGTTACCTTATCACAGATTTCCGACTCTTATCAACGTTCACAATTGTGTTCCTGATATATCTTGTTCACATTTCGTACTAACAGCGGAAATTCGCACACGTCAGCCGAACACAGACGACGTTTGACAGGTTTGTGTCAGATAACCGTGCATTTGCGATAGAAAGCGCATAAGTCGGCCATGCATTGGTGTATGGGTAAGCGCTACCACTCCCTCTACTAAGATCACACTGCGGATGCAGACTAATAGTAAAATTTCTAGGTTGCGACGTCGGAGCATTTTGGAATAACACATGTTGCTCACTCACACTGCATGAGGCCTAGGTGAAGTGAGATGTTGCAAGTCGTCGCCTCACTCAGTAGTTCAACCGACTGGGTAATTCGAAGCCAGCCCTGTGTTCACATAGTGCTGTTGTCGCGTTCCTAAACTTTCTTCGCGTAACCATCTACATTTCACTAAGCTGCGCGACATCACCACCATAGTGACCTGGCTCAAGGACCAACCTGAGTGCACTCTCGTCCTAGCTCCCCTGCGCTACGCTTCTACAAGCTACTCAACAACGCACTGATGATGTCCGCTCGATTGGTTGCAAAATGTCTGCAAATATTTTCAAGCTTAGCCAATAGTTCGACGGCCAGCACATTTATCATCTGACCAGGGTAAAACTACAGTCGTAATTTGGGTGGATGCAGTTTTGCAGATTCGATAAAACATCTGATAGTATCAACATAACTGCAGAACCATTACCAATTTCGAAAGCCACATGTCGGTTATCCATTTATAGAAACACAACAAAGGGTAATTCTTCCGATACCTTAGGGGTCACAGCTGCTAAGGTGTTGATCCAGATCTGATTCAACTCTCCTGCAACGTGATTCGCGGCTTTGGGTTTAAATCCCCTGAATGCATTCCGTTCGGGAAGGCGTACTTTCTGACTGTGACTCCTATTCGCACAAAAATTACGGTGAATAAAGGTGCTGACAGTCATGTTTACTCGAATAACGCTCATTACAACGATATCAACAAAAGGCTGTGTATTGTGTAAAGTAATTCAATGTACGGTCTCCTCTGAGTTGGGAAACTACTCATGCAATGTGATAAAGCCTGGTCTACCAAGGAAAATGCCTCGAGTTCTCGGACGAGTTTGACATGTAGGTGAAATATTTTTCAAACTTTCTTCTAACGCAATAGCTTGATTATTATTGCCGCAGGCAGAGGCTTTTACACCGTGCCTGGCAGCCAAAATTCTATTCCACTGAAGGTCAGTATCATTAGGGTGAGCGAGCGAAAGTTTGGATTGCAAGGCGTCATGGTACGCTTCCCTGGCAGAGGATTAAGATAGCTTCTCGGTTGCCAATCGAGAGAGACGCCTAGCACGCCTCTCGGCAAAGTTCATGGAAAATACAGCGTATCAAAGCATGGTTGTATCCGCCGCACGTATTCCAAAACGAGCAACAATCTATGCTGGAACCACACTACCTGCAAGATGTCAACATGATCAATTTGGGTTCTTCGTGGCCATCTATAGGGGGACGTCTACTGGGACTTTGGCGCCCACTATGTCTAAAAACGATGATACAATGAAACAGTCAGTGATCCGTGTACCGTTGTAGCAGACGCTCGCCGTTGTAAGTGCGGTCGGATTTAAGACCTTAGTTACCACTTAGCTAAGCTTCTGAAGAGCCCAGACGGCCTAATTTTTGCATTCATATACCCTGCAATAACAACATCTGAACTAAACCTTTTCCCGATTGCTTGCATCCATAGTGCAGTTGAATTGCTCCCTAAGGTTCTGATATGCATCTTCAAGCCAATTGAACATAGTCACTAGTGCAAATGAGTTGCATCCGGTATCATCTCTACTCACCAAGCGCGCGCAGTGACCTTATAATTGAGCTAGCCCAAAGCGGCCAATGACGGTAAACTTAATAACCCTTACATGCATGAATGAGTTGGTCGTGTGTGGTGCAGACGCGTGGGCGGCCTAGCCTGCATTCAGCAACGGTGCCTAATCTGAAGCTAGTTCCACACAGCTTAGGGGCACAAGGTTGTCCAAACACCTGATGCGACTGGGTATAAGTGGACTACCATGTACGTAAAGGCATGCCTTGCGAACGGCACCAGTGGGGGGGGGCGCTACGAACACGGTAATGCGACATTTCATTAGCGATCTTATGGCTAGTTTTGCGCTGGCGTAGCCCAAGGTTTTAAACGACCAACCAACGCTAAGGCATGCGACGGTACTGTGTCCGGATAGCGATACATTCAGAGGCGCATGGCTACGAATGACCAGGGGCGGTGTGATGGGCTTGTAATCGGCCGTCTGCTGAGAGGACTAGTGCCGAAAGACGACTGGAAATTTTGTTACAAAGCGAGAAGACCATGTTTTGTTACAGTATGCATCGCTTACCGTCATAGTGGATACAGTACACCGACTAGCTGATCCCCGAATCAAATTAGATACTGCGACCGGGCTGTCGGCAGTTTGCATCGGCTGATCTGTACACACACACGCACACACACACACACACACACACACACACACACACACACACATGCATGGGCGGACTAGCGTAGACCCAACTTAAGGTCAACTGACAGCATCAAGTGAATGCGTATCCCCTACCCAGTTGTGTGGTATGTTCGCACAAGGGAATCATTGCATCGTTGCTTGGCAGTTTTATCTGGCCATTTCACCGGCTGTTCTCCAGCAGACATACTTGGCGGACACAGCAAATTGGCGAGCAACACTGCGATTTCTTCCTACGGTATTTGTACCTGCAAATCCTATAATTCCGCGATGTCGATAACCTTCAATTCCCTATCTAACGGCCTGTGAACACGTAGTCTACAATCACAGATGACAGTACAGTGGCATATAACGGGTCAAATAGATAACGCTTCACATGTCCCATGGGATGGTCGAAATGCAGACAGGGACAGTAAGTAATGGACGTACCAATGAAATGGAGTGTGACTTGGTGATTTAGCATAGACATTTGCATGATAACTGGTATACATCCACTTAGTTGCAACTAGTCGTTCGCAATAATTTACATCTTCGGCACGGAGTGAGAAATTTGAGAACACACTTTTATACATGTAATCCACTTTATAATTCCTATAAAGAACATCAGAAGCCGAAGGTTCAGGGATGACACTGTTATGACGACTTACCAGCGCTCCGGCAGGTTAGGTGTGCCTGGATTTCAAGACATTCACAGGTGTATGACTGCGAATGATTGGGGTCTGAGGTGCAAAATGTTGAGGTGCTTGTGATTAAATCGACAAAAGTGGCATGCGCAACTTGCCACTGAACTCTAGGTTGACAAGTGTCCACACGCGTATGAGAAGACATCATGGGCGGCACTCTGCTGAGTGAGCTAATGCCGTGATAGCAATGCAACATTCTTGTTTTTAGGCATGTATGCAGCGAAAGATCTGTGCACCGTAACCCGAACGCATTACCTCATATCACCCTGCCCAAAGTTAATGTGAGGCACTGCACTTGCCATCAGGTGCTTACACTGGAGGGATAAGTGTGATATCTTGGTGGTTCATGTGTAGACGACCGCGAGGACGACTATTTTGGTCGCTTGAGTAGTTCGTGTTTTCTGAACGCTGTACCAATAGCAAGTAGCGGACGACTCATGACGCACCGCATACATTGGCACAACTTAAGCGCTGAATTGAACGCAGTCAACCGCATAGTCCTCTGAAATGCCTTCCACTACGCAACAAAAATCGATCTCGCATTCAGAGATGGATCAGTGGCTTCCATCCGACGCGTTGTCTTAGCATATCTCACAGTGCGTGTCCTCACGCGGCGATATGTAACCCACAGCACTATGCAACTTCGACATTTCTGCAATAATGCTTCACCTAACGATCAACAGAATGACTCTCCCTTTTCTGCGCACGGTAGTCCTCTTCGTGATACCAACTACGCACCGTTGGGTTGTACTCCATCGACATCGAGCGCATGGTGCTGTAGCACATGCGGTCGCGAGTGCTTGAGTTAGACAGGCCTAGCGAGCCATGAGCGAGGCTACTCGGGGCCAAAACCGAAACTACGACGAGTCCTGCAGAGAACGTAGGCAGAACCGGCTAAGCATTTGTAGGTATGCTGCATTCGATTTACTAACCGCGTGATGTATGCTGATTCTCATTATTTCAGGCGGTGGGTTTGCTATCTCCTATTAATGTCTACCTGAACTATCTTCTATAAACTTGCAAACGTCCCTTAAACTAATTCAGTCAAATTACATAACATTTTGGCGTTTTGGCGTTTTCTTAAACTATATATTCTGACGTCTTGAATTTATCGCGGATTTGTTCGCAGCCAATTTATTTCATATGCTCATTTAGTGAAGAGACTGTATGCATTATCCGATTTATTTGCTTTCGTCGTTTCAAGTGATTGACTGCTTCTTGATATCCCTGGTGTGTCTGCACTTGATGTGTGAAAACGAAATTATACCCGCTCAGTATGGTCGCTGTTACTGGAACCATAAGAATAATTCAGCTTATGCTTAGAGTATGGCTTTGCTCAACCACTCAGTACGCCAATTTAAATCCCACGCGATTACTTCAAAATGTTGCCAATCTTTGTCGCTTCAGCCAGCTTTCCATGTGATTTTCGTCTCGTTGGAATGTTCGATCAATCGTTGTTCACTGTGGAACAATTTAAGCTACACGTTCGGAGTTTGCAGGTGAGTGATCGGATGTCGAGCAAGTAAACTTCTTTTCCCAATACATGCCGACCTCTTCGAATTACTACCATATTTCCCTAGTGAAATTCTACTGCGTTAGATCTTTTATGCCTGTATTTATCTACGGGGTTGTTTGAATGTCGCATAAAAGTGCAACCACAAATGTGTCATTAGAAAGTGGTTCTTTCCAATCGCTTACTCTTCTGTGTTTAGAGCTATCACAGGATAGGAGCCCCACCTCGTGTGTGCGAACGATGCATGGTTCACTTCAAAAAGATCAAGCTAGAGACGAAAACAGTCACGTGGCTAACTACTTCAAGTGATCATTTCCTACGGTTGATTAGACGTGATTCGTACTGCTGGACAAAAAGGATCCTCTTTGTTCCACCTCTTTAGCGGCGGCTAATATTCTAGCAGATGACGACATAGACTTCTGATACTATTCGTTCCCGCTTCGTCTTGATTATTCTCAGCTACAAACAAACCTTTCTATGTCAGCCTTTCATTATTGTCCGTAAAGTTGGTCGCACCACCGTCAACTACGTGACTCAAGACCATTCGAACTAGAATAACATGTAACTGCAGTAAGAAATTCCGTCCCAAGTGCGTAAACTTCAGTATGGCAAAAGCGAAAGGACGACATTGCACACCAGATTTTATTTGGTTCTGCACGTGTATGGTCAACCCACTCGTACGGTGCATCGCCGTGCTGGCACAGAAATGTGACAAACCGACAGCGACTGTACAGCGTGCCACGGTTGGTATACCGGCTGTATCGGAACCAGCTGCAGCAACACTCGGTTCCGTTGCTTAAACTTAAGTTCACCCTTGGGACAGAGCAGCCAAAACAAGCGTATAGTTAACAGCATTGAGCCAGTAACGCAACCGCGATAACTAGTAAACAGCTAGGCAGCCAGGGTCTGCCAACCCCGTCGAAACCATGTTTACAGAGACTGGTTTCCCCGGGGTTGTGTCTGTGTCACATGATACTCTACTTCCTTTGGGTTTATTTAACACTGCCAAAAGCCTGACAACATACGCATCCGACGTCGCTACATTCAGACACAAAGTGATGTTAGAAGTCACGTCTGCAATCACCCCAAAGAGCAATGGAAATAACACGCATACCAATGCGCCTTCGGGAAAGTCGCCTACCACGCCGCCAGAGAAAGGAAGCACGCCGTTATCCAAAATTGTGAAAAATAAGAGAACGCAGAACTCGATGGCGATAATGTGCTCTAACGTGTCTGAGCCAAAGCAAAACTGTATCAAAGACAAACTGTTGGATGCCCTTAAACAATGGGAATCCATATACCAAGCAATAGGAATCTAGCCCAAACAGACTACGTTGATGCACATTGTTTGCCACCGAAACTCAGTTCACTATAGTGAACGAAGGCTACTTCAGGTGACACTTCAGTCGGGTGACAATGCAGAAACCGCCCTCTTGTCAGCTGACCAGATTATTGATTCGTCACGTGATGTACCTATATTTCCTGACATCCCTTGGATCGCGCATCGGAAAAGGAAGCAGAACCCAGGGGAATACCGAAATGAGGAAAGACCAGTCATTGTCTTACGACGAGTCACAAGCCCATGCTCATGGCTTGGAACAGTGGCGCTGCATCCGCGAAGTCTTCTCTCTTCATGGTGTGATTTCCAACTCAACGTCAAGGCTTCCCCCATCAACTATAGGTGAATTAACCTTGCATACCATAGGAACTTTGATCACACTCGGTGAGCAATTCGATGCGAAATTTTAAGAGCTAATCGCTAGTTCACCGCTATACAATCATGTCACTTCTCCAACGCGTTTCAGGACAGATAACAAACCGGGCATCTTGGACCTTGTGTTCGCCGACGAGGAATTTATGATCAACGTAGTAACAACGGGCATTCGACTGGGCCGCAGCGATTATGAGACACTACTGTTCCGATACATTTGCTACGCAGATCATCTCAAGGGTAGCAAGGAAGTATTTCACATCGTAATCAACAATGGTAATCTCTCTGGCATCATTGGTGCAACAAGCTGGTCTTTCCTAGCCATCTGATCCCCTGAGGTGGACTGGTGGGAATTTGTCAACCGGTGCAACTGGTTAGTGGCAAGCACATCATAGTCAAACATCCACCACCGGGAAAAGCCGAATTCCTTTGTAACTAGCAGGACTCTCTGATACATGGCATCGAAGGACGCGGCATGGATCGCCAACAAATCCTTTCCGGACGAGGACTCCTAGGTTATCCATACGACACGAAGAAACCACTGCGTCAAACTCATCGTGATGCTAAAGTAGCAACAGTATCTTGCGATTCGGTTTTGCTAACTCCCAACTGTCTTACAGACATGTGAACGGACTTCATGCAGTCAAGCGCGGAATTCTCGTCCTGCACACTACATGTGGTCTAACGCAGACGGTACAGGAGGCGGTCAGTGTCTTTGGCAAAAGTCAGGTGTCCCTTCCAGTGTACCACCATCTCACATTCTTCTTACGCAGATCACACCGCCACCATGGCCTTATAACCAGTCCTTTGCCACCACGGATGTACGGATGCGGCTGATGACCTTGCGCGAGTACAACTGCCGTGCTACAGACGACATACGCCCAAGGCGTCGAAAGTGGTTACCACGAGTTTGGTTGAAGCGTTAGTCAAATTCTCCTATCGATGTCTTAATGAGACGCACGTCACCACGATGTGAAACACGGGAGTATCACTCCCATCTACGAAAGTGGTAGCCGTGCAGAACCAGCGAATTATCGGCTGACTCGCTCATGAAATACCTGAAGAATAAAAATTCTTACTTCAGTGCAGCACGGATTTCGCCATAATCGATGCTGCGCTACCAACTTGTTGATAGCTTGTGCCTGCTGAACGCACTCTGTGGAGGCTGGTTTAGGTGCAAATGCTGCCTCACTGGATTTCGCAAAAGTATTCGACCATCTGGATCATCGCATTCTACTTCACAAGCTTCAGAATTATGGAATCGGCGATCTTGTTCTGGCCTGGATAGGCAACTTTGTCGTTCAAACTCCTCTGAAGTTGAGAGTTCGCAGTACACTATCCGACCCAATCGAAATCCGGTGCGGTGTAGCTCAGGGCTCGGTACTCAAGCAGTGCCTGTCCATGGTTTCACAATTGATCTCGTGAGGGTGCTATCTTAACATTTTCTATTATTTGCCGACGATCTAAAGAGGTAGCTTGATCACACAGTCCTACAAGATGATGTGTGTAACGCATACACATAGTCCATCGAGACCATACTGCAGTTCAACGCCTTCAATTGCAAACTTCGGGACATACATCATCAGAGTTCTCATGACTAATGGCCAGGACCACATATTCCACGACGGGTTTCTACTAAGTGCGAACTTTGCGTGCTCATGCAAGATGACCTTGGTTGTTTGAGGCAGACTTAAAATGCATCAACGGAAGCAACTCAGCTCTTCAGCTTCCCTTCTAGGGCGGTCAAGAATTTCGTCGTTCCAGTCTCTCCGAAAATGTTTGGCACGTGCGTGATGCCGCACGTTGAATACGCTACCCACGCGTAGCAACCTTGGCAGAAGCAACACCTCATCGCGCTCGATACTGCACAAAGCAGGGCGACGAAGTGCAGCAAATGTTTGTCCCACCTTCTTTACCCAGTTAGACTGAGAACCCTGAAAGTGCACATTGGACGTTACCGGCGTCTACTAGGTGCTCTCATAATGGTGTTCCAGATCCTAAGAAACCCCATTCACACTTGCCACCATATTTGACACAGCAAAAACACATACGAGAGGCCATCATTTTGAGTTAGCCACGCAGTACAGCTGACGGATCATTTTCTCCTTCCAAGTGTCACAGCCCTGAAATGTGTTGACAAGACAACTTTTCTATCGGACCCGCGTGTATCTGCTGAACTTTTCATACAGTCCAGTCTATGTGGCTTTCCTGTAAACAGAGCGCCTTACCGCCTTACCGTCTTCTCGTCTGGTCAACCATACATCCAGAAAAGCCAGACAATTGTTGCCTTTACGTTACAAGTGAAACGGTCATTGGAATGTGCTTTGTTGAACATACTTTGAAAAATCATCTACCGAATGTAGCGCAACAGTGATATGTGTGAAATCTTATTTAACTGCTGCAATGCCATCATATACGACGTGGTGATTTATGGTGAGGATATATCCGCACGTATGGCGGATATGCGGTTTTCTGTACTTTCACACGAAACTATCCATTGTCATGTGGTGGCCCAATGCCTAAAAGATTCCTACTACAAAGGCTGTGTTTTGTTTTATCTTTCAGGGCACAGTGAAACAACTGGTTAACTTCACTGAGAATGATGGCTCGGTGCTTCTCACAGATCGCTGTGCCAATCACCTAGCATGTTTCACTGATCAGGGCAAGATACGAGTGTTCGATCTGGATAGACGGTGAGTGATAAATATATTACTAACAATGCATATTTCTCATTGATGCGAAAAACACTCCTCGTGATGAGAACTGAATTACTGCGTACCGTTTAGGATGCAACAAGATGCAACAAGATAATGTTTCACATCTTAATATCGCAATGCAGACCATTGATAAAGTCACGGCGATGGTATGATCAACGGTATATTACGAGGAAAAAAGAGCCAAAGCTTGATATGTTCCGCCGGATGATCGGTTAGGGGTGAGTAAAATAAATGCAAAAACAGCAATAGGAAATAGTGAACAACTGCAAATTGCGAGCTTGCCGATTACGTCCTTTCCGTCTGAGTAGTTCACATTGGTTTTATTTACTATCCAAGGTTAGCGTCAGTGGTTTCCTGGAAAAAATGGAGGTGGGTTGGTTTGTTTTTGTTCTTCTGCTGTTTGTATGGGCCATTTGAACAACGTGATATGGTGTAGTATGTCCAGTGCACTGTCGACACGTGCTATGAACACGACCAACGTGGGTACTGAAATAACAAATTCTGAGAGTGTATTCCCCATGTGCCAAACACGCAGCCAGAAGACGTTTCTTCGGCACTGTTAAGTATGGCCCTTAGCCGATGAACGGAACAGAATGTGCACGGGTAGTATAGCACCGATGTACTAACAGCTTCCTGCGTTAAATGGCTAGAAGAGCCGGAAAGAAATACCAATGAAATAAGGAAAGTAAGGCAAGGTCATTGTCAATCAATCATGCAAGCGCCTGTGTTCACGAATTGATACCCAAGTGGATACGTGACACTCCTCTCTTCCCCGATCAAGACTGCAGACTCCGGCTTGATACCGATCAATTGGCTTAGGAATGTGTTTTGAGCGTCTTAATTGTGGTTGTACCGCATCCGTTTGTGGTTCCTGGTTGTGTGAAGCAGATTCTCTGTACCTTTTTGGGTCAGTAGCAGTCGCTTTTCGATCCCGGTCATGTGGTTCGTTTGAGCGTGGCCGGATATGGTCATGGTGACGGAGCATCACTTGGCCGTCCTCCAGCTGTAGCTCCGTCTGGTTTCTCGTTGAGGACATGAGTGTAGCAGGTTGCCAGCTTGTTTCGTGAGGCAGTCTTGTGTATACCGGATCAAAATCATTGTGACACATTTCCTCTGGCATCTTTTCATCCTCACACATCTTCTGCTTTTGCTCCATTCGCCTTCGAGGGTTCGGAAAAAGTAGGTGCAGTCTCGTTCGTAGTGGCCGACCAACCATTAGTTTCGCGAGTGACTACCCTGTCGACTCAGTAGGTGTCGTGCGGTAAGAGAACAGGAGACGATCCAAGTTAGTTTATAGTTCCATGAGCCTACTTGAGGAGACCTTGCTTCTAGTCTGGACTGCACGTTTTGTCATTCCATTCGCCGCGCGATGGTACGTTGCAGACTTAGTATGCTGTATTCTGTGATTACTCAGGAACTGTTGCAATGCTTCACTGCTAAATGTGGTTCTGTTGTCGGTGCATACCGTCTCTGGGATGCCGATAGTGGCGAGCGCATTTTTGCAACTGTTGCTGCGGAAGTCGCATCTCGAGCTGGATATACTTCTATCCACTTAGAATGGGCATCAATCAAATGTAGACACATCATCCCATTTACTGGACCAAATTAGTCCGCGTGTACCTGCTGCCAGTGCCTCTCCGGCCAACACCATTGAAGTATCGTTCCGGGAGATATTTGCTTTTGGTATTTCTGACATTGATCGCAGTTTTCCAGCAGCTGCTCTATATTCTGGTCAATGTTCAGTCACCAACGGTAACTAGGTGCCAGCGTTTTCATCCTCTTCATGCCGGGGTGTGCGTCATGCATCTCTCTCAGCAACTGGGGCCGTAGTGCTTCTGGTGGAACTGTGCGCGAGCCTCGAAATTTATAGTCGTCGTATAGACTCAACTCATTACTCCAACAGGCGAATGGTTTCAGTTCGTCTGACGTGCTTGTAGGCCAGTTGGTCATCAAGAAGCGTTTCAACATTTACAAACCAGAGTCTCGGTCGGTCAGACGCCGCACCACGTCACTCTGGATGGGTGTCTTTTCAACGTCTTGCATCAAATTGATAAACTATTCGTTTTTATGCCATACTTTGCGGTAGGCAACTAAGTGCGCCGGCAATGCTATTACTTGGTCCGTTTATGTACTGAAGTTTATAGTTATAGACGCTCAAAAGTAGTGCCCGCCTTTGTATTCGAGGCAAAGACATCTGTTGGATTCCTTTGCCATCACCCGGAAGCGAATGCTGTGGTTTGTGGTCGATGTGCATATCAAACTGTCTTCCCCAGACGTACTGGTGGGAATTCTCGACTCCGAAAAAAATCGCTAAGGCCTCTCTGTTCAGTTGCGAGTAATTTTTTTCAGCGGGTTGCAGGGTACGAGAAGCAAAAGCGATTGGACGAAGAGCACCGTCATTTGTCCGGTGGCAACGGACTGCGCCTACTCCGCGTGGGGAAGCATCGCACTGCAGCACTATATGCCGGCTGGGATCGAAATGCACGAGATACGGGGAGGCGCAGTGCACTCTTTTTGCATCTGTGAAAGCCGTTCTTTTATCCGGACCCTAAGTGCAACCGTTCGTACAAGGGTGCAAATACTGTTGAGGCGTTAGGTAAGAAGCGGTGATAGTGAGAAAACATCCCTAAAAACGATCAAAGTTCAGCTTCAGTCTTGGGTTCAGGTGCGACAAGCATGGGCTTTCTTGTGTCTTCTAACACGTGTAATCCGTTTTCATCGAGGCGGTAACCAAGGGAACGAATGGATGCCGAGAGAAACGTACTCTTGAACTTCTTCAGTTTGTGTCCGCTCAGTTGTAGACGTTCGAGCACAGGGGATAGCGTTTGTAAATCTTCAGCAGCTGTGCGTCCTGTAATTAAAATGTCGTCAAGATAGGCACAAGTGAAAGAATTATCTTCTATCAGGTTGTCAATGATCCTTTGGAATATCGCTGGGACCCAACTGATTCCGTAGGGCAGACGTTTGTACTGGGATGGAGCCATGTAAGTGCTTATCGTAGTGCATAGCGAGAGGTCTCGTCTAACAATCTGTAAGTACGCGTGACAGGCCGATCTGTGTAAAATTTCGTCCGCCTACCAGCGTAGAATACAGATTCTCTATCCGAGGTAAGGGATATTTATCCACAATTAAACGACGATTAACAGTTAATTTATAGTCACCACAAGTACGCACAGAACCATACGGCTTCAGGACTGGAACTGTTTAAGCTCTTCACTCACTGTATTGGACTAGCTCGACTGTTCCTGTTGATTGCAATCTCTTTATCTCTTCTTCCACCTTTGATCTCAGGGAATAACGTAGAGTACATGCCCTGAAAAAGCAGGGCTGAGTTCCAGGCTGTAATTTGATACTAGACTCATATCCGTGCAATATTCCTAGTTCATCATCAAAAATGTCAGAATAGTTGTTGAGCACATCCTCCGAGCGCTGGTTGAGGGACATGCCCTTCATTGTCTCTAGCCTGGCCGGCAGGCATTTAATCCAGTCGCACCCGAGTAAGTTCGGATAATCATTCGCCACAGCATATGTCTGTAACGTCCGCTCCTCCCCATGATAATTTACATGAACGGTGCATTTCCTCAGGACTGGTATCCGCTGGCCAGTGTACGTAGCAAATTTGGTTCACAGGGCGATAACTTGGGTAATGTTTTAACTGAGGCAGCACTGATTATGGTAACTGAGGCACCGCTATCAACTTCCATTTTAACCAACTGGCCTTCTATTCCCAGTTGCACAGTGAAGGGCGGGTGAATGCTACAGATGCTTGACGTTGTGTTCCAAATCGTGCTTAGCTGGTCTTCGTCTGAAGACTGGATGACCCACATGGTCTTCTTGAGAAAACGTGATGTCGCGGCTGTGCAAGTTTTAGCTCAGAAAACTCGGACCAAGTGCCCTAATTTTACACATTGGCTGAAGATACTCTGTTTATGACGACATTCCTCGGCTGATAAATGCTGCCTGTTACATCGGTAACATGTAAAGGCAATTCGGACTGTGTTGGGGTGACACCTTTACGGTTAACTGCTTAGATTGTGACTGTATGAGGTTGCGATGAAAAGCTGCTAACTGTTTATGAGCATTCTCCAGCTGTCGAACCATATCGCAAGCCTTCTCCCAGTTCATAGTCGCCTCATCTTCCGACAACGACCTTTCGCGAGCCTATTCGTTACGGATACCTGATATCACGCATTGTAAAGCCATCGCCTCTTCGAATTTCGTAATTGCATTTCACTATGTCGCCACTCCGGTAGGGCTTGCTGAATCCGCGCAATGAAATCAATGACGTTTTCTTCCGAATTTTGACACAAGGCCAAGAAAGAATATCGCGTAGTGTATCTGATCAGTCGTGAACCCCATAACCCGCTGAGTACTTTTAGCGCGCTGTTGACTATCGCCTTCTCACCCCAGAAATTGTCTTAATAATTTAATGTTGTGTCTTTCTGTGAGTACCGTGTTTGGTTGCAAGATGAGTAGTGGCTCCAAATAGTCCCCAAAACGCGCTTCCAGCGGTTCTAGGTAGCTGGTGTTTGTTTCTCAAAAGGACTATTCTAAAGCAGCGTAGGAAGATGCAACTTCGCATTAGTTTAACCTGGTCGCCAGTATGTTAAGTATGGCTTTTAGCCGATGAACGGAACAAAACGCGCACGCGCAGTATGGAAACGATTTACTGAAACATTCCTGCGTTACAATGGCTAAAAAGCCGGAAAGAAAAACCAATGAAATAAGGAAAATAAGGCAACGTCATTGTCAACCAATCATGTGGGTGCCTATCTTCACGAATCGATACTCAGGTGCATACGTGACAGACACTCCAACCGACTGTATTGTTCTGCAAATTTGAGATGATGACCTTTCAGTTAGTCGTAGTGACTCCGCTTTTACAGCTGATGGCATGAGTTATTAGCGTTGTTTAATATTTCGTAAGCCATGATTAAGTCACCACGTAAACGCCGATAACGTTCGCTAAAAATGCCAACA